ATAGGTTGTACGGAAAGTTCTTGCGGGTTTTGACACATATCATTACCTTAATTTTTTATCAACAAGAAAACATATTAGGAAACAAAGTAATCACCATCACGTTCTATCACTCTTCGCCATTTTTCGGGCAGACTTTTGATGCCTTCGGCAAAGAACTTTTCTGGCTTCGATTCAAAAAAGTTGCTCAACCAGCGATCTATATCATGCTCGTTATCGAACGTTTTTCCTTGCATGGCGTTGGGACAGCGACAGGAAAAGGTGGTAGTCTGTCGGAGCAAGGTCCGGGCTGTACGGCGGGTGAGGCAACACCTCCCACCCAAAGTCGAGTAGCTTCTGGCGAGACACTCTTGCAGTGTGTGGGCGAGCGTTGTCGTGCAAGAATCGGATCGTACCACTATTTGGACGCTTTTCTGCGATTTTGGCGGCCAGTCTATCCAGTTGCTCACAGTAGAGGTCTGCCGTAAGGGTAGCGTTGCGTGGGAGAAGCTCATAGTGGATGATACCTTTCCAGTCCCACCAAACACAGATCATAACCTTCGAAGGGTGAAGACCTGCCTTTGGCTGCGGCTCAGGTTGCTCATCCTTGTCAACCCAGTGTCGGCGGCGCTTGATATTGACGTACAGGCACCACTTCTCATCTCCTGTAACGATGGACTCCAACCAGTCATCCGTGCGCCTGTACGAGAGCAGCTGAGTAGCCACCTCGGCACGTCGCTGACGATCGCCTTCACTCAGGTGGTGAGGTACCCACTGTGGCAGCTTGTGTACTTTGCCCAGCCGTTGCAGATGATCGGCGACGGTAGTAAAGTGGACATTCAGGTCTTGCGCTAATTCACGTGTAGTCTGCCGCGGGTCCGCCTCCACCAACCGGCGCAAGCGACCAGGTGTCGACTTCGGGTCTACGCCCCGATCGTGCAGAATCTTCTAGGCTGAAGTCTCCTTCACGGAAGCGTTTTGAACCAATCCTGTGCGGTGCGTTCGGACACTGTGCCCTCTCCAAATGCAGCGTTG